TTTACTTACTAGAAAATGGAGTCGAGAGAATCCACTTCATTGTTATAGGGAAAAAAATGAAACAAACGAAAAGTAGAACCAGTAAGCTTCCGATTATTACAAACACAAACGACAAAGTAAACGTTGCCGCTATAGAATCTTTGTCAGTACATTACATAAATCAACCTAGTCACCGGTACAAACACAAAGGCTCAAAATCACTTAGCTGACGTATTCTGGGTAAAAGACACATTGCTGTCCTTTTGTGTAGCCGACGAAAAAACATATTGGGAACGCCAAGTGCCGTGATTCAAAGATATTAGACAAAACGGTGTTGAATGTTAAGTCTCCTATGTGAAGAAGCATTGTTACCAGCTATTTATCACATTTTGTAAAAAAGGGCATATTTCCAAGACAGAAAACAGCACAGCACGTACCGGGGGTAGCGGGTTGGCGGTAAGATCATTCATATAAGAAATCTTTATAAGAGGATGTGTTTCGGTACATTGGAGAGGCATTGAAAAAGACAGACGAACTGATGAACTGGCAGGTGAATGGTCAAGTGGGTGGTTATTTGAAAAATTGAAACTCTCTTCTCTCTCTCACATACATACACACACGCAACACGCAGATAGTCTAAAGCAGTGTTCTTCAAACTGTGAGCCGTATGGAAAGTCTAGACCTAACCATGTCACAGGATCTCTTCATCGATTGCTGTCTGTAACATTTAACACCCAAAGGATAGAAAGGTAGGTTCTTTGTTAGAAGAAGAAACACAATTTTTTTCACGTTCAGCATAAAACGGCTTAGCATTGCACGCCACCAAAAGCCCTGAAAAGGACTCGTTCAGTGTAGATGCCATCAAAGAAGACAGACCAAATTACTATCCCGACTTGCGGCGAAGTCGTCTATAAGAAAAGCTACATTCAGTTTTAGTTAAACTGGCTGGCTAAGTTATCCCCGACTACCTCCTTCGCATCACTCCCATTGTGATGATCCATTTGCTCCTCTGAATTGTACACTTGTTCCAACAAGGCCTTAACCACGTCTGCCTTATCATGCATCAGGATTCAATCAAGTTGTGCAGAGCCTGCCACATCATCAATACCATACGATAGACTGAACTCTGTGAGTCTCTCAGTTTCGTGGAAAATCATTGCCCCCTGAATAGACTGCATACCCTGGGTGTACCAGTTGGAGCTGCTAGTCAGGACTTGCAGGGGCCAGCCGTCGTTACATCAACCAGAACAGAATGGGAGTTGTTAGCCATGTGCCATGAAGATGATCTCTAAAATAAACAATGAACAATGAAAGAAGCCCCGGGGCATTTCTTTTGCCTCTTGACGCCAAACCGACTATGAACAATCACATCAACCGAGTGGGCATAATCCTGAATCAGTTTCATAATCCTGAATTTCCATCTCAGTGGCACCTGCTGACCATCTCCTCCACTCCCGTCTCCATATAATTATAACTACACGTCTTGCTGAACCGCTGCCATTCTGACCGACTGCTCTCCTCGCCTAATGTTCTCCATGATGCAAGCCTGTCTGATCAGTTCCTCCACCTGAGCCCTTCATTTTCAGCCGCTGACCATTAACTGCAAAGGGTGATCTCTGTCTGCAGCTACTCTGAGGTATGACTTCGCCTGCAACCCGTCGAGCCTGCCTGTAACAGTCGGCAAACCAAGAATGTATCGCATACACAACTGCTGGGGTATCTGTAGTACTTTCCAGAATGACCCGCATAGTTGCATTCTGTATGCACTCCAGTTTAACCAGCTGACTGCTTGGGACAATGAGCTGCCCTTGTTCATAATCAATCACTAGATCAGTGCTATTCAGATAGGTTTACTCGGAGGCCAAAATTCTGAAAATTGGGATCGTTATGGGCTACAGGCTTGACCTCCGGCATAGAAAAATCATTAATTCAGTATGGCTGGCAATGATCCGCGGGCCACTTGTTAGGCCTCCGCGGTTTCTGCGGAGCGCCAGGTAAATAGTCCTGCACTAGAGGATCGAGTGCTGATATACTGTGAAAAACATTTTCCGCTCTATGTCCGTTGCAGGCAAAGTCTTGAGTGAATTGAGCCCCTTTTGGCATCTTGCCACAACCGTCTCCACGTGGTGCTTGAAGGACAGGCTGCTGTATACACGTTAAAGAGTACAGGTGAGATTGCAGATCCATGAGGCAGTCTCGGGGCTATAATACGTGGTTCTGAGGTCCATAAACCCAGACGGAGAGCAACCCGACGAGGAAACAGGACAACTGCTATCCAGTTCACCAACAAGGGACTACTTACCCCCTTCTACATCAGTACTATCATCAAAATATAGTATCTAACTTCACTATATGCATCCTCGAGATCAAGCGTTGCTGCCATTGTTTCCAGTCTGTTCTGGAACCCTTCATAAACATCAAAGGCAAAAGTGGCTGCACTGTAGCCTGTTGCTCCGCAAACCTCACGAAAGAAGCTTCCCCCTTTCCAAAAACTCTTGCAGCTTGAAAGCTACTGTCTTCTCACAACGGAGATCAAAAGTATTTTGTAAGGTGATGGCATGGTCTTGGAAGTGATGTTAGAAAGCTGCGCACCCAGTCCTGCGGTACTGATGCTGTCCTAATGCTCTGGTTCAAGCAGGCAGTCATCTCCCTCAAGTCTACATCGCTCAAAGCCTCCATGTGTCCATATCTAGCCCTATCAAGCTCTTGTGCAGTGTCTTTTTCCTTTTTTCAGAACATATTTAATAGCTTTTTCAATTTCTTGAGGCCTCGGAGATGTAGTTTTACAGAAGAATGCTTAGAATACATTGGACAGCCAAAAAGAGCCACCAAGAGATTTTGAAAGAGGCGGGAGCCCGAAGACAACTTATCACATACATCAGAAGGAGACAGTCATGATTTTTCGGCCATGTTATGAGAAGATGGAAAATAGAACATGTTGGACCACTGGAAAGATCTCTGGAAGGGGGAATAGAGGAAGACAACGAGAGAAGATTCTTGACAGTATTGTTGCATGGCATGGAGGTGTGTCGGCACAGGAACTGATACATGCTGCAGGAGATCGCAGATTGTAGAGAGGCATGATCGCCCACGCCAGTCGGCAAGGCACCTGATGATGACGATAATGATTTAATAGCTTAAACTCGTATGTCTTCACATTGTTTATTCATTATGGTGCCAGTTGAATCCTATCTAACCGCATCCTTGGTGACTGCATCAATATGATCTGTCTGCGCTATAAATCTGTACAGAAAGGCTTCCCCTTTTCTTTGTTGCTCACGCGCACACCATAGTCTCTATGAATTGTTCCTACTTTCATAGGCCAATCTTTTCTCTGCATTTGTCTTTGCAGTTTCCACAATCTATCCAGTGTTTTATCCCCTTCAATCTCATTCATGACAATTTCCTATTTGCACAGCGCTTGAAAACATCCATCTGATCTTTTTAAGCATTTGCCGTCGTCTCTACTTTCCCTCGTAAGCTTAGGGATGTCTGTCGCACTTTTTTCCTTAGCTGCTTCACTTCAACTCACGTTGCCATCCCGGTGTTCTTCTGTTCTTCTTCTAGAGTCCTCCGTCGGGTCTGTAAAAAAAAAAAAAAAAAGTAGGGTTGACAATTATGTTGCATACTCTGTCTGCGGCGTCACAGAAGGGCGTGGGTACACTCTTGTGTGCTTTCCCAGGCTTAACCTTAGTGGATTCAGAAATCAGAACTGAAAATGGCAGGTGATCACTCCCATGGTAATTAAGACAGTCCATTTTGCTTCAAGAACAGATGACTGAGAGATAAACACCAAGTGAAAGCTGTGTCTGTGTCTCATTGATATTCTAGTCCCATTTCATGAAAACATTTCAAGCACAGTCGTTTAGTCGTTACTTTTAAGACATGATTTTAATGAGCAGTGGGTCAATTTCCCCTCCCCATCCTTCCCGTGCGACTGGTAATATGCTCAGGGATGAGACATCAACTCAGACCCTAACGACCCAAACCAAAACACGACAAATGAGTGAACCAGCGCGCGATCTCGTGTAGTTTTCAGAAAAGTAATCAAAGAAGGTCAACATGGATCGCTCGCGAACAGGGCTACCAATGCTGGGGTTTTCCCCCAGATTTGGGTTTCTATATGACGCCTTGGGGGAAATCTGGGTTTAAAAAAAATATATCCTTATTTTCAACATGTAGCAGAATCTTTGTAGAATGTCGCTCTTATCACGGCCTGCTTGAAAGAAACTCGGTCTTTCGCCAGTTCTCCCGCCTCATGTACTTTTTCAAGAAGTCACTTATATCCTGTGCGCCTTATCTTCGTGTTGGTGGGCCCCTGCCCCTCCTTCCTGGTACGATGCCTTCTGCTATAATTTGTTCCAATCCGTCGTGGCACTTGATGTGACCAAAATATTTCAGCTTCCGAGAAAGGATGCTTTTATTAGTCAATCTTCCTTAATGTTCAGATCTTTCAAGATGTCAGTATTTCTCCTCTTCTTTGTCCAAAATATTCTGAGAATCTTTCTATAGCATTTCAGCTCAAAAGCCCCTATTCTTTTTCTTAAGGACTGAGAGATAGTCCACGACTCATATCCGTAGGTAGCCAAAGGGAAGATGCATGCTCTCAAAATTCTAATTTTGATCTCCTTGCTGGTGCTTAGCCATAGACTTTTAACTCTGTTCAATCTTTGCATTGCTATAGCCATCCTTCTTTTAATTTCTGTCAAACAGTCTCCATTGCTGTTTATATCCTTATATAAAAGTAGTAAATTGATCGTTTCGTAACTATACATTTTGTACATTTTAACAATTTGGGTTTTTAAAAATTTTCTTTTGTCTATGTATTGCTTGGGTTTTTCTTCAGATAAACTGGGTTTTTCAAAAAAAAAAAAAAAAACCATTGGCAGCCCTGCTCTGAGGGGAAGGCACTCTCCAGCAATCTCCAGTTCAGTCAGTGTCGACAAGTGTTTGTTTGTCGGACGGTCGAACCATTACCTAACATTATGCACGACAGGCGTAGTTTGGTGTCGGCTTCCAAAATGATCAAATGTATATTTCTCAGCGAATTTCATCCCACACAGGGACCAATTATAAGTCATCAGGTATCTGTTTACATTTGTATTGAATATTCTATCTAATGCATTTTATTTACAATGTGTATATTGTTCATGTATATTGTATAACGCCAGTCAGTCCCTAGAAGTCCATGATCTGTGGTGCTGGGTTTTATAGAACATCGTCTGCTAATTATAATACTGTGAAGTCCAGTGCGGGAGTGATAGCCTTTGCCACTTAGTCCTCATAAGAAACGTTGACAGTGTTATACTGAGGCAGGTTTTCTCTTGGTCGTCTCCTCTCAGTAGCCTTTTGTTAGGTCTCTTGCAAAGAGCGACTGTCCATCATTCACCGTCTGCCTGCCTCTCAAAGGATTCAGTCTGCAGCTGATCTTTCCCAAGTGTCATATGTCAGTGGTGGTATGTGTGGTCACGTTTGCATGTGTCCTTTATATCATAGCCTTGGCGTTTCTGCAGATAATGTCCCTGTTTTCGGTTATTTTGTCTATCACTATATTATATAAATAACAATAAAGCAGATTGATTGGTAGGCTATCCTTCGAATAACGGTTCCAAATTATCAAGGCCGAAAATATATCCTAACAGGGCCTCAGTCACGTGTCACCGCCGAGAGTATCCCCCACGCTGCGCAAGCAGCGTGGATTGAGGCTAAACTAGATGGCTGGGACTCACAAGCAGCAGTTACTGCATCTCCTGCAGCTTCCTTCATTTTATTCGCTCATGAGTCCTAGCCATCTAGTTTAGCCCCAATCCACGCCACATGAGCGGCGTGGGGGATACTCTCGGCGGTGGCAGTATGGTCCCCGGAAGTTTGCAATTCGGTGGTGGCGTTATAGTTCCCGAAAGTCCGCAATTGACACATGACTGAGGCCCTGTTAGGGTATATTGTCGACCTCGATAATTTGGGACCGTTATTCGGAGGATAGCTGATTGGTGGATCAGCTTCTTTGCAATAAAAAATCAGGCTAACCTCCGAATAACGGTCCTAAATTATCTAGGCTAAGAAAATACCCTAACAGGGCCATGTCATGTGTAAATTGCGAACCTCTTTCCGACGACTACACCTCATACCACGGAAAAGCTTCGGCCTTGTTAAACTCACCGCCGAGTTTCCCCTGCTGGGACTCACGTGCAGCAGCTACCGCATCTCCTGCAGCTTCCTTCATTTTATTTGCTCGTGAGTCCCAGCCATCTAGTTTAGCCCCACTCAGTAAACTCCGTGTGTCGTATTGTATTAACCTAAGCAAATACTCCTGCAAATTTATATAAATAAACTTGTGAATCCAGCCGTGAGTATTACTAAACCTTACCATACATTAACTATATTACATGCTCTCCTTAATGTCAACCGCAAAAGCGAAAATTGGCCGACGTTAATGTTTGATATAATACTTTTGTAAATATAATAAGTGTGCGAAAGGTGTGTGAGTAACACTATCCTTTGATTTCCCTCCATAACATAATGTAATCTTTCAATTCTTTTAACTCTTTCATTCTCAGGCAACACGCGGTGTGTGAGTGACACCATCCTTTGATTTCCCTCCATAGCATAATGTGATCTTTCAACTCTTAACTCTTTCATTCTCAGGCAACACACGGTTTGTGAGTGACACCATCCTTTGATTTCCCTCTATAGCATAATATGATCTTAACTCTTTCAGACCTATGAATTTTGACAGACTGGGCTCACATTAATTTCCCTTGCCAAATGGAAGATTTGGTGTACAATAAAGGCAATAAAATTACCTCTCCTGATTGTTCCCATCAGTTGGTTATATAATAGGCTTCTGTCTTAGCCTCGAAGATGGCACCAATGTGCTTCACCAAGTTTCAGTCCAAGATCATGCAGCCAAATTAACATCAGAGATTCATTACTGTTTGCCAGACTAGTCTATCATTGATCATATCTGCTGTGTTCATACTTCTTACTCGATCATGTTGAGGTTTGCGTCTATAATAATTTCAGTGGTTATTTCTTTGTATGGAGGGAAATGTTGGAAAGGAGTTATTCTGAAAAATTCCAAGTCTCTTTGCAAGTTCTGGAGCTTCACTCTGCAAAACAAAGACTGTGCCCACTGCCCTTACTAACAAGCATGTCTTAGGAGGCAATTAAGGTTGTTTCCTTTAAAGTCAGAGTGCATCTGAGAGCCAAGGAAACTTAAGTCTGCATACGATTAAGCCAGATCTGGAAATCGATATACACACAAAAACTCAAGTTCTGGATTAGGACCAGAGTCCAGGAGTGGATGAACAGCCAGAACTTTCCACCAAAATGCCAGTGAATGCTTAGAAGAAGAAGAAAAGAAAAGTTTATTTAAAATTATAACTTTTACAAACTTGGATCAAATCTTGATGCACAAGGCATTAAGAAGATCAGGGTGAGTTTAATTTACTGACAAGAATTTACTGAAAAGAATTTACTTACAAGAAAACATATTATTATTATTATTATTCTAACATCACCATTAGTTAGCATTTGAAAAACAATAAAAAGTTTTGTCTGGAAAAAAAAAGAAAAGATAAAGACTGAATGACAAATGTTTAGAAAAGATAAGAGTGAATAAAAAATGTTTACCATCATTCAACAGGTCCCTACAGAATATATATCAAAAGAGATGTTTGATACCATTCACAATTTCATCATAACAAAACCAGAACTTCAGAACAGGCTGATTACTCTGTAAGTTGACTAATAATAGTTTCCCCTTTTTTTAACATGTAATTTACAGATCTACTCATTCAACTTGTCATAGATTTGTTAATATATGAGAAGCTTGAAATGAAAACTTACAAGTTTGTTAGAAATTAAGGTAACCAGGGGATGATCTTGTAACCTATCAGTGTTGTTTTTAAAGATGTCAGTTGTGTTTAGCTTGGGAGATCCCAGTGCAGATGAATTGAACATTTTCTTATAATGACAGTTTAAAGATGGCCACCCCACTTTTGACATGCACCACAGAGTAGCAGCATTCTGTTATCCTGTTCAACTAAGGGGTGAAGCTAAGCCAACCCCAGTGCCGTTAAGATAGTTGCTTATCATTTATAGGACATTGCAAGTTTACCTTCAATAGTTTATATTGCTGTCTTTAGATCCCAAAAAACGTGTGATGTGTGTGAATCACTCTGTTTGCTGAGTCCCCTCGTTAGCGTAATATGCTCTCTTACTTTTTGTATTTTGTCAGAACACATTACAATATCTGGGCGTGTCACATGGTCACTGTTATTATGTTACCACGCCCGTCTCTCTAGCATAGTTGGCTAAACCGGATTGTGCGGTGAGCGGGTGACGAACTTCTTGTGGTCCGGGCTCACTCCCGGGGGTGGGCAGAGAAGCCACATTTGTCCCAGATTTACGGTATTTAAAATAGAATCAAGGCCGAAAGGTTGCGATATCCATAATACCGAGCCTAAGGGTTAACAACTCATGGCTTCTGGATAATAAAACAAACATTATGTTACCACTGTCAGTGTAATTCACTGAAACATTTGTCTTCTTCTGCATTCATCCAAAGATATAATTGCGTTGCGTTCGTTTATAGCATGGCTGCAATATTTGCACCTTTGGACCTACACATCCAACTTCTGTGGGCATTTGTTGACCGGGTTAGCTTTCCCGGTACTGATACATTTTAAGATATTTTTTTGATTAGCATCTCCTACATAACCACCTTCTGGTACTGAAAGTTAACTGTCCGCATTTGATACTGTCAAAATCAAGCTACAGTGGTCTGCAGTCAAATCATCTGCAGCTGGAATTGAACCAGGTACCTTCTGGTTATGAAGTGCGTTTACAGTGCTTATGCTACAGATGTCAACACCTCAGAACCTTCATTATCAGTCTGCAGGTTCTGAAAGCTTGCCTGAAAGTCTCTCTTTCTGTAGTCAGTTCTTCAGTCTATGTGCTTTCATAGCCAGACATCTTCAGTGTCTGGTTTCTGCTTTGTTTTCTGTAAACTCAGGCCTCCATGCCGTTCTCGGCAGACCGCAATGACATTTAACCTGTTCACAATATCTCAACTTTTGGGCTATCCTCCGAATAACTAATTATCAAGGCATAGAAAATACCCTAACAGGGCCTCAATGCTTGTGACTATGTCACCAGGAAACTGCTAATATTCAGTAAACGCGCGACTAGTGCCGCCATGGTAATGTCACATTTGCTTAAGTTCCATCCATAACCCTTCACTCGATAGTGTCGCGGTTCCACTGTTGTGACAGATTCTGGCAGGGGTGTTGTAATTGCAATACTCCTGGCACTAACCATAACCCTAAACCTAGGACCCCAGAGAGAAGTTAAACCTAGAACTCAGGGAAGAAGCTAAATTTAGGACTTAGGGAAGAAGCTAAACCTAGGACTTAGGGAAGAAGCTAAACCTAGGACTTAGGGAAGAAGCTAAACCTAGGACTTAGGGAAGAAGCTAAACCTAAGACCCAGGAAAGAAGTTAAACCTAGCACTTAAGTATCGGAATTGTTGACACTCTTGATGATTTGGGACTGTTATTCGGAGGAGTGTTTCCCGCTGTATGCGTTAAATTCACCGGAAAGAAGTCCGTAGTTTACAAATGATTGAGGCCCTGTTAGGGTATTTTCTTAGCGTCGATAATTTGGGACTGTTATTCAGAGGATAGCCAACTTTTAGGACAGGATGCTGTTTATCAGCTAATTCTCCTCAATGGTCAGATAAGAATGAGTGAATTGCGAAACCAGTGGATAAAATAAGTCTAGTGACCTGGCATGGGAGCTCATGTCTTTGAACTGGAACCTGTAGTGTTAAAGGAATAAAGGCAGACTACACACATACAAAAGCACACATAAAGAACAAGAGAGGGAAGTTATTAAAAAAAATATGAAGACATGGAGTGGGCTGCATGTGGTAGCGAAAAATAGGATGACTTGGGAGTTGAGGGCCTATGCTCCATTGGAGGAAAGAAAAAATGAAACACGGGACACATAAATACTGGCTACTTCTTGTTCCATCTTCTTTACTCTGGAATGCCTGGCAGTGTCAGAGCAGGAAGAGATCCCTGGAACGGGCCTTTCTGTGGTCTTCGCAAAAAGTACTTTTCAGTGTCTCTGATATTTCTGTGGTCCATCTTCTTTGTGGTCAGCCTCTGGATTTTTACTATTGAATATGTGTAACATTGCTCTCTGTGATGCTCTTTCTGATGCCAATCTTGTAACATGGCCAAACTATTTGATTTGTTGTCTACCTATAAAGTTCGTTATTAGTTCTGTACCAACTCTCCTCCTGATATCATCATTCCTAAGTTGATCTTTCTTCGTTACGCCTAGCAACGAGGGTCATGTTTATAAACTGGTTACTAAACAGCGGCAATCCTCCGAATAATGGTCGGTTAAGATGGCGGCCACAAAATATCCTTTCGAGCCACAGTCACATGTCAATTGCGCACTTAAGGCGACTAAATTTGCGGTTTTCCGGCGACTACCTTCCGCATCTCCTGAAGCTTTGCTCATGAGCACTAGCCATCTAGTTTAGCCCCAATCGATGCCGCATAAGCGGCGTGGGGGACTCGTGGCGGTGGCGGTAGTCACCGGAAAACCGCAAATTAGGTCACGTGACTGTGGCTTGAAAGGATATTTTGCGGCCGCCATCTTTACCGACCGTTATTCAAAGGATAGCCTAAACAGCTAATAAATTACAGCAGGGACACTTTTCATGATAGTCACTTCCTGGTAATTTAAATGAATCTTCTCTTCATGGTTAAGGTGCTCAACCCTGTGGATTTAGAAAGCTAGGGTGGGGGGGAGGGGTGGAGTGGGGCTACCGCATTATTCATCCCCGGAGACTTTACATGTAAACTGCTGTTGTGAAAGGCTCTGTTGCTGGACTGAAACAAAGATATATGTCCTAACTGGAAAATACGATTGATTTATTTAAGCAAAAAGGAAAAATGTTGTGTATGCTTTATTATAAGTTGATTGAACTATGTAGTGATGCACCTGACGCGATAAGCGAAATATGCCAAGCAATAAATTGTGCAATGTATTGGTTGTCTTCATTGTTTAAACTGACTAGGAAAATATTGTTTTTATATGTTTATATTGACATAAATCCTTTTTTGTGTTTAAATTATTTTTTTTTTTTTTTTTGCTCCACAGAGCAGCTTTTCATTACAAAATTTTAGGCTGCCCAATCTACATAGAAAATGACAAATATAAGCGGAATGCCTTCATATTTAATGTATGCTTTGTCTTCGATGAGGACACAAACACGTCCCAGTATGGTTCAGTTGTAAAAAAATTAGCGGAATATTTAACTCAACTGGAGGTGAGAAAATGTTTCATGCAAATTTTATTTATATTTTGTTTTATGATAATTCGTGTGTACATATCAGCTGAACAACACCAGTGTGTTTTTCTTTCTTCTTTGAAAGCACCAGTGTGTTTTTCTTTCTTCTTTGAAAGCACCAATGTGTTTTTCTTTCTTCTTTGAAACCACCAGTGTGTTCTTCTTTCTTCTTTGAAACAAGTGTGTTCTTCTTTCTTCTTTGAAAGCACCAGTGTGTTTTTCTTTCTTCTTTGAAACCACCAGTGTGTTCTTCTTTGAAAGCACCAGTGTGTTCTTCTTTCTTCTTTGAAAGCACCAATGTGTTTTTCTTTCTTCTTTAAAAGCACTAATGTGTTTTTTTTTTCTTCTTTGAAAGCACCAGTGTGTTCTTCTTTCTTCTTTGAAAGCACCAGTATGTTCTTTTTTCTTCTTTGAAAGCACCAGTGTGTTCTTCTTTCTTCTTTGAAAGCACCAGTGTGTTTTTCTTTCTTCTTTGAAACCACCAGTGTGTTCTTCTTTGAAAGCACCAGTGTGTTCTTCTTTCTTCTTTGAAAGCACCAGTATGTTCTTTTTTCTTCTTTGAAAGCACCAGTGTGTTCTTTCTTATTTGAAAGCACCATTTTGTTCTTTCTTCTTTGAAAGCACCAGTGTGTTCTTCTTTCTTCTTTGAAAGCACCATTTTGTTCTTTTCTTCTTTGAAAGCACCAGTGTGTTCTTCTTTGAAAGCACCAGTGTGTTCTTCTTTGAAAGCACTAGTGTGTTCTTCTTTCTTCTTTGAAAGCACCAGTATGTTCTTCTTTCTTCTTTGAAAGCACCAGTGTGTTCTTCTTTCTTCTTTGAAAGTACCAGTGTGTTCTTTCTTATTTGAAAGCACCTTTGTGTTCTTTTTTCTTTTTTTGAAAGCACCAATGTGTTCTTCTTTCTTTTGTCATCACACTTTTACTAGGTCTTTCTTGCACTTCTGTCAGCTGAGAGATGGTTTTGTTCTTGTCTTTGCAGCTTTCAGCTATTTCATCTGTCAATATCTTCATGAGTCTTCCTCTTCCTCTTGCCTGCTGACTAGATGTTCTGCCACAGAAGGTCTTGTAGTTTGGACTATTTGTGCTCTTACTATATGATTACACCACTTCAGTCTGTCAATGTAATACAGACATTCTTGTTGCAGCCTTCTTTTTAATGTATTTGTTTATTATATATAATGCAAAATGTTAACAAGCCCACAAACTACTTAGTGTAAATTAGATGAAGAGATGGTCAAATTTGACTACGTTCCTGCCTCAGTGGTGACTTTAAAATATGACCCTAAACAGGCAGGCCGTTAGGCTAGCTACTGGGCTCCTGTGGTTCCTGGCTATAGGCTTTTATCATCATAATTGTCCTGTTATACCATTATATTCACTGAGGGCTCCTTATTTCCCATTCTAGTGTCTTTTTGGTGATTCTCTACTTGTTTCTTCGCAAGATGTGTCCATTATAATGCAGTGTAAGCTTTACCCCTATTAAAACTGGTACCAGAAATGGTCCAAGTAAGACTGAACATTGTCTCTTTGAGTGTTCAGTTCTCACCCAGGTCAGGTAGTTGCTCCTTCCACAATGCCAGATAACGCATCATCTGATTAACACTTTGTCATTACCCACATAGGGCTGCGGGTTACGCCTGGCTGGTATAATCATTACTGGTGCCCTGATTATAACTTCTTACAAGGTTTGCCAGGGATCTGCCTGGTTAGTCTGCCTTCTATACGGAGATTTCTTCATCTCAGGAGGGTATGGTAAACCCATTGTCCCCTCCAAACAAGCATGTCCTAAAAGGTGACTGGTAGTCTGGTAGTCTTAGTTTCAGCTTCTTAGCAAACGGTTCACCTCATCTTTGCTCTGCTCCTGTGCCAACGAAAAACACACAGAATGTTTATCACAGTATTAGAATTGCAGTTCATCATTGATGGTAGCAGAAGTCGCCAACAGATCAGCAGTTGCCCACGCGATCAATTTTAATCACATACGGGCACCACAACACTGCATGACAGGCATCGCGCCATTTTCTGAATCTACAATTCACACCAACACGTTGGTCACAGTCGAAAAAACATTCCAAATGCAATCCGCAGCTCACAGGGTCACGCCATGCATTCAACTCAGAAGCTGGGCGACGAAACTATATCCAGTCTACAAATGGAGCAAAAATGCATCGGCCACCGTCCAGCAGAAGCAAAAAATTTGCCTCTGTTTCGAACAATGCCACTGCCTAACGTCCATTTTGACCGGAAGTGAATATTTATGACTATTTATGGGTTTGCAGAATTTGGATGTTTTGGTCAAAAGACACAGATATCACTTTAGCTGCAAATATTCTAACTTAGCATGCCAACTACCCTTTTAATGGCGATCCTAGAAGAAAAAGAAGCCACTGATGTATCCATACAAATAACAGCGAATTTAAATTTGACTTGTGGTATTTTGAGTGCACATTTTACATTGCATTGAATTGGTCAACAGGAAGACACTGCATTCCTCTCTAGTACAGAGAATACAGCAAAGGTGTCCAGCTTCTTAACAGAGGTATTGAATGGTCTTAACTTGGAGGGACGCTGCAATATATATATGGGTATGGCTTGTTTTGTCATAATTCCTACATGCAGTTTTAATTTTACATCTGTTTTGCAGTTTAAAAGTTATCACCATCATGTTTTATCCTAGCTACTTAGCTTTACTTTTATTTCCTTTAGAGCAGCGGTCTCTTAGTGGTTGGTAAAGGGGTGGGGGATCTGTACTAGTTGCAGTATTCACGATTTTGTTTCAACAGTCATAAAAACAAAACAAAATGTTACCGCCTTGCTCTGGAGAGTGATCTGTTGGCCTTGTTCTACATCAGATCAAAAATAGCAGATATGAAAACGAGACATTGTCAACCATAATATTGATATTTGAACACTAAATTACCAGTTGTTGGTGATCGTTTCATTTATTTGACACTTAGAATTATGTGCATGTTTTTCTTATAAAGTTATTAACAGTACTTATTTTTCTTTTTTGTTCTTTTTTTTTAAATCACATTTTATGTTGGTGGGTGGGTGGGTGGGGGGAGGGGGGGGGGCTTTCTGGAATACACTATCTGGTGGTAGTCTTAAGACATCTAAACCATTTTATCTGTTGTCTTCTCATGTAGTTTAATCCTGGTTTTTTCCCAGCTTCTTTCCTGATAGCATCACTTTTTTTTAATCTTCTCTTCTAATTACATTTAGGAGTTGTTGTAGACATTTCATTTCTATTGTTTACATTTTTTTTTCTCATTTTTTTATTGTCCACGTTTGACACAGGTAACAGTGTTGGTTACACAAAGAACAAGAAAGGTTTGAAAAGTAAATTTCACTTTGTGGTTCAAATGTATTACATGTACAAACTCACATGTAATCAACTGACCCTTCATTTTCCCTTGTAGCCAAATCTTGCACAGTACATTTGAAAGTGGCTGCAACCATCCATGAGCCTATTGCTGTGGAGGATCATGATGTTCCTGTTCTGACAGCACCCAGAGAGATTGTGATGAAACACCAGTGGGATCTCACTACCCAACAAGTAGGTGATTGACTAACTTGGGTCACCCTTTGGCAACCTGATTATAGAATTTCTTCATATTTTTCTTAATGTGTACGGCAGAAAGTTATGGTTGTGTATCCACTTCTGAGTTCTGGTCTTATTCCTAAACTTGAGTTTTGTGTGCATATTGTTTTACAAATCTGACTTATTTGCATATAATACGAGCGGCTGGCCAAGCAGTTACAATGTCAAACTCTCATGCGGGAGACCTAGGTTTGACCCCCAGTAAGTTAGCAGAGTTTTTCTGTCGGGGGGGTGGGGGGGGGGGGCAGAGTTAAACATCCTAACCTGTACAGCCCCTGATGACAGCACTAGCCCTGCGGCCCTAAATCCTCAGAATCATGACTCCCTGTCTACAGCGCCCTAAAAAATCGTACATACAGACAGTAGTGACAGTTTTATGTGTGACTTATTTGTATGCAGCCTGGGTTATTTTTACGCTGGACTTCCCATCACGCAGCGTATGATCCTTCATTCATGCTATCGAGGACGCGTCTACATCAGGGGGGGGGTGTCACAATTTTCAACTTCATGAGACAAGATTGAAGACCCTAACAGGGCCTCAGTCATTTGTAAATCACTGACCTCTTTCCGGCAACTATACCGCCACTGCTGAGAAGTATTCCCCGCGCCACTACGTGCGGGGCAGGGCTAAACTAGATGGCTGGGACTCGCAAGCAAATAAAATAGAGGAAGGTGCAGGAGATGCGGTAGCTGCTGCTCTTGAGTCCTAGCCATCTAGTTTAGCAGAGTTTCACCTTGCGCATAGCGGGGGGGGGGGGGGGGGGGGAGCTCTCGGCGTTGATTTTAACTCAGTGGAAGCTTTTTCGCGGTATGCGGTATAGTCGCCAAAAAGAGGTCAGCGATTTACATATGACTGAGGCCCCGTTAGGGTTTTAAACCTCTCGCAAAGTTGAAAATTGTGACATCCCCCCCCCCCTTTCCTAAAGTAGATGCGTCCTCGGAAGCATGAATGAAGGGTCAAACGCTGCGTGATGGGAAGACCAGCATAAAAATAACCGCAGCCTGTTCTTACTCACCTCTTAGGCAGGTGCACTCTGATATTGAAGGAAACACCCCTAATTAGTCCCCTTTATGACATGCTTGTTGAGGGACAGTGAGTCTGTTTCCCCCCCTTCCCCCGCAAAACAGGGCCCCAAAACCCACACAATGTTTCATAGATAGGCAGATGGAGAAAAAAAAATTCTAAAGATGGGTGGCTGGCTGGATGAAAAGATCAGTGGATGGATGGATCGATCGTTGGTTGGATTGGTCAACAGGCAAGGCACTGAGCACATTGAAAACAAATGGGTGCATAGATAGGTGGGTAATCAAAAATTAGTTTTTGTTTGGAGGAACGAAAGTTGTCTACTGTGTCATCATCTCTGCATATTTTTTCTGCATCTGTGAGTGCCAGGTAGTTCAATACAATGTTTATCATAAACATAATTTCTCTGTCAATTCACTATAGGGGATAGGCCTGTATGTCTGTCATCATTTAGCACTTAAAGCTTTCAAATTTAATGTTGTGCTTAATTACTGTAGTTAAAGTCGAGAAGATCAGCTTCATTACACTGGACTTCAGCCCATATGGTCCAGTATGTTTCTGCAGAACTGCTAGTAGCTTGTCCAGGAATGTTGCATAAAGCACAAACTCTGTAGTTCTAGCAGCAGTCCACAGGAATCTCTGTAAAAATTGCACTCATGCACAAAATGACCTGTCTGTAAAACAAATCCACAGCCTTCATAGCATGAGGAAAATGGCTTGGCCACTTTGCCATTGAGACCTTCCTTAACTCTTTCAGTCGCACAAGGTCCTAGCTAAAAGTCTGAGGGAGTTAAAATGGCAGTACTAAACTTATGGGTATACTACATCCAAAAGGGCCAAGTATACAACCCTTGTAGGAAAGAAACAAGTTGGCAGAGCCTCTGAGTCCCTCACTAAACATTAGATGTAAAAACATACACAATATGTTTATTTGTGAGGTGTTACCAGGGATTCTGTCTGACACTCAGTACTCAAGGAAAGGCATGATTGATATACTGTCAGAAAGTTACTGGTGCCATCAGAATTTGAACTCTTCACTTGCGAAGATGGGGAAGGAGCACTGATGGGAGTGTCCCGAGTGCTGTAAAGTTGATTCTTAATTCAACATTCAACATGTTGATTTGTACATGTGAATAATACCCAGTCATGCATAATGCATGGTTTAGGACAAAAAGTTAAGTACTCATGTCACCTACGGATCTAGTTTCTTCTTTGCTTTCACTGACTGTAAAATCTACCAGATAGTTCTGATTTGTCCACATCTGGAATTTAGTCGGGAGTGTTGCCTGCACATCAGTTCTACAGATCTGGTTTATTTGTATGCAGACTGTTGGTTCCCTGCCTCTGACAGATACTCTGTCTTCAAAGGAAGCCCCAATTCTCTTTTACAGCATGCTGTTTTGGGGAGGCAGTGAGTATGTTCTTGTTTTCCTCTGCAGTGGGGACCCAGAACCCACATGGTTAGGCTCAAATTTAAAACATTTGTCTTTAAATTGTTCTTCTGTTTGTTTCTCTAACAGATCCTTCATTATGTAGACGGTGTTGCTCATGTCAAAAAGATCGCTGCAGAAGCTGATGTGGAAGTTAATTTGGTGAAGGCTGATCTACAGAATTTATTGTAAGTTTTGCTTTGTGAGTAAAGGATTCCTTTTTTCATGCTTTAGTCACATCAGGATTTGATTTGACTTGATTCAAGAACCGACATCACAGCACTCGGGGCATTCCCATAAGCGCTCCGTTCCCATCTTCAGCAGCCAGCGAAGAGTTCCGATACTAATGGTGCCAGTAGTATTCTGATTAAACGTCCGTCTTGCCTTTCTTCTGAGCCTTGAGCATCTACCAGAACCTCTCGTCACTCCCCCCTGCATCAATCTCACCAGACTGGTGATCCATCTGCTCCAAACTGTACACGCTCTCCCACAAGGCACTAACCACGTCTGCCTTTTTATGTATCAGTATTCCACCAAGTTGTGCAGAACCAGCCAGTCTGTCCGCCTGTAGTCACATCAGGAATAATCAATAAAACTCGTAAGCACAAATTCCAAAGTATCAAAAATTGAATTTGTGTATTTAAACAAATGTGTGCTTGGCCGGGGACTAACTGTAAAACACTTCTGCTGTGACTAAAGTTGTGTTCATGTTAACCAAGTGTTCTTCTTAACTTGAGTCCCAAGGAACACATAACTCTAATTGGTTACTACCCAGCTGCCCAGGTAATGCGTGACCCCTAGAGGTTTTTAATCTACCACTGATCTTGTAAAGACGTGAACCGTACAAATGAAACTTCCTCTTAGGTTGTTTGTGTTCACTACGTGTGTTGACCATCATTTGGAAGTGTAGTTAAAAGCAAAAAATGTTTGCGAGGTTTACCAAGTTAATGTTTGTATGGTTGCCGAGTAGTATTCTACATGCATGCCAACATGATTAAGGGCTTTAGAAGCCTCAGATTTAAATAAAACACATGTTTGAAAGATTTATCTGAAGGTAGATAGAGAAAATTGTAAGTAGACTTGTTTCAGTCATTGAAAACAGTCAGTTGGTGCAAAGTGTACAACGGTTAAAGTTAGCTGGTGCAAAGTGTGCAACGATAACAAAGTAAGCTGGTGCAAAAGGTGCAACGATAACAAAGTAAGCTGGTGCAAAGTGTGCAATGAAAACAGTCAGTTGGTGCAAAGTGTACAACAGTAACAGTCAGTTGGTGCTAAGTGTACAATTACAAAAGTTTCTGGGGAACAAGATCTAACGTACACATTGAGTTTATACTTTACTTTTACATTACGAAGTGGCTCATGGTCCTTTGTGTTTCATGTTTATTTTTTTCCTTGAGGCGCTGTGGTGGTTAGTGGAAATTTGTTTTTTCATTTTACAAATTTTTCTAAATAAGCCGCCTGTTTATTTACTAATATTTAACTACTAACACAATTATTTGTAGTAGCTGTATGCTTAAATTTTTCCTCAACAGTCACTTTGAAGTATAATACATGTGTGTTGGGGGGGGGGGGGGGGCAGTTGAATTAGTGTGTTCTGTTTTAATGTGTTACACTTGTGACATTCAAACTTGCCTTACCATCCTTCGGACCTTTGAAGCTAAACCCCCTGGAGCTCAGTTCAGCAAGATGTTGTTCTTCTTCTTCCTCTTCGCGTTCAAAGTTAGTATTAAGAAAGTAAAGTACCATTTTTTAGGCCTTTAGGCATAATGAGCATATAGGGCTAGACATATATTTTATAGACCAATCAGCACTTTGTGGATGAGTTGGTCAACTTCATGCTGGCCACCTTTACTTCCCAGGAAATTATGTGGTTGGGTCGACCAGGGAAACTAAAGGAAGTTTTTAAAGGAAAAAATCCCTATCTTCAGCAGCTAGCACAGAGTGGTGCCAGAGCAGTCTGATTTAATGCCCATCTTGCTTTTACTCTTAGAATTGAGTATTGGCCAGATCCCTTGGTTACTCCACACTGCTTCGCTCTCACCGCTCACCGCATGGCTCTCACCACTCACTGCATGGCTCTCACCACTCACTGCATCGCTGTCACCACTCACTGCATCGCTCTCACCACTCACTGCCTCGCTCTCACCACTCACTTCCTCGCTCTCACCACACACTGCCTCGCTCTCACCACACACTGCCTCGCTCTCACCACACACTGCCTCGCTCTCACCACACACTGCCTCGCTCTCACCACTCACTGCCTCGCTCTCACCACACACTGCCTCGCTCTCACCACTCACTGCCTCGCTCTCACCACTCACTGCCTCGCTCTCACCACTCACTGCCTCGCTCTCACCACTCACTGCCTCGCTCTCACCACTCACTGCCTCGCTCTCACCACTCACTGCCTCGCTCTCACCACTCACTGCCTCGCTCTCACCACTCACTGCCTCGCTCTCACCACTCACTGCCTCGCTCTCACCACTCACTGCCTCGCTCTCACCACTCACTGCCTCGCTCTCACCACTCACTGCCTCGCTCTCATCCCTCACTGCCTCGCTCTCACCCCTCACTATCTCGCTCTCACCACACACTGCCTCGCTCTCACCACACACTGCCTCGCTCTCACCACTCACTGCCTCACTCTCACCACTCACTGCCTCGCTCTCACCACTCACTGCCTCGCTCTCACCACTCACTGCCTCGCTCTCACCACTCACTGCCTCGCTCTCACCACTCACTGCCTCGCTCTCACCACTCACTGCCTCGCTCTCACCACTCACTGCCTCGCTCTCACCACTCACTGCCTCGCTCTCACCACTCACTATCTCGCTCTCACCCCTCACTATCTCGCTCTCACCACTCACTGCCTCGCTCTCACCACTCACTGCCTCGCTCTCATCACTCACTGCCTCGCTCTCACCACTCACTGCCTCGCTCTCACCACTCACTGCCTCGCTCTCACCACACACTGCCTCGCTCTCACCACACACTGCCTCACTCTCACCACTCACTGCCTCGCTCTCACCACTCACTGCCTCGCTCTCACCACTCACTGCCTCGCTCTCACCACTCACTGCCTCGCTCTCACCACTCCCTGCCTCGCTCTCACCACTCACTGCCTCGCTCTCATCACTCACTGCCTCGCTCTCACCCCTCACTATCTCGCTCTCACCCCTCACTGCCTCGCTCTCACCCCTCACTGCCTCGCTCTCACCCCTCACTGCCTCGCTCTCACTGGCTCACTTCCTCGCTCTCACTGCCTCACTTCCTCGCTCTCACTGCCTCGCTGTCACCACTCACTGCCTCGCTGTCACCACTCACTGCCTCGCTGTCACCACTCACTGCCTCGCTGTCACCGCTCACTGCCTCGCTGTCACCGCTCACTGCCTCGCTCTCACCGCTCGCTGCCTCGCTCTCACCGCTCGCTGCCTCGCTCTCACCGCTCGCTGCCTCGCTCTCACCGCTCGCTGCCTCGCTCTCACCGCTCGCTGCGTCGCCCTCACCGCTCGCTGCGTCGCTCTCACCGCTCACTGCGTCCCTCTCACCGCTCACTGCGTCCCTCTCACCGCTCACTGCGTCCCTCTCACCGCTCACTGCGTCCCTCTCACCGCTCACTGCGTCCCTCTCACCGCTCACTGCGTCCCTCTCACCGCTCACTGCGTCCCTCTCACCGCTCTCTGCATCCCTCTCACCGCTCTCTGCATCCCTCTCACCGCTCTCTGCATCGCTTTCACCACTCACTGCATCGCTCTCACCAGACTGATGATCCATTTGCTCCTCCTAATTGTGTATGCTATTCTAGAGCATATCTCTAATAAACTAGACTACATCGCATGCATTTTTTAAAATTACATACTGTTAACTGACTTGTTGAAAATTAAACATTGCAGGCATTACAAAATCCTGACTCTTGTGCCGATATTTCAGGTAATCGAATGTTTCTTTGCCTTGATTGTTGTCTGTAGCTCATGTGTTTCAGTTATGTATAGTTAATATAATGTGACAATATTAGTCAATCTCTTCATGGCACGCCTGAAAGTCTCTTTCTCTCTGGTCTGTTCTCCAGCCCTGTGTGCTTTCATAGCCAATGCATCTTCAACGTCCAGTATCCACCTTTGCAATTTCAGCTGTTGCGGTTGCTATGGCTGGTCGTGTGCTGGACGGAAGCGACGTTGTCAATGTTATGCACAGCATGCATCGCAAAGACATATACAGCAAAGGATAGGACTCTACATCCTTGTCTAGAATGATGGACACTGGGATGAAACCAGGAGCTGCAAGAAATAAACATTTCACCAAGGGAACATCATCATTATCATCAGATATCTAGCCAACTGGCATAGGCGATCATGCCTCTCCACAATCTGCGATCTCCTGTAGCATGTATCAGTTTGTGTGCTGACACACATCCATGCCATTCAGCAAGACTGTCAAGAATCTTGTTGTCTTTCTCTATCCCTCCTTCCACAGATCTTTCTAGTGCTCACATGTTGCATTTTCCCTTCTCATAACATGACCGAAAAATGTCTCCTGATGTCTGTGTCTTCGGGCTCCCCCCTCTTTCAACAGCTAACTCTATAAAATACCTAAAAAGTCCTTGACATGGCCATCAGCAGATAAGAGGCGCCATAACCTCTACTCCCCTGCTGCCTTGCAGGGTAAGTCTCTTTAGACAAAGGCTTTTGGAGTCAAACCATATACAAACCAGCGGAAGGTAATGGGAAACCACTGCTGTATTATCCCTAGAAAATCAGGGGACAAGACGTTTAGTTAATCAACACCAAACAAGCATCATCAGTCGTTATGTGATAGTGAAGCTTTTAAGGAGAGAATCAAGGCACATGTCTGAAGTGCTGTGGTTATAAGGGGGTGGGATAATAGTCCCCCCCCCCCCTCCCCCCACCTCTGCCCCCCACATGTCATAAAATATGACTAGGGGTGTTTCCCTTAGATCTAGGCGGCGAGGAACCAGCAGTCTGCATTCAAATATGCCAGATCTGTAAAGTACATTGCATCACCCTCATCGCTCTCAAGAACAAGACCAAGAGTCAGGTTCTAAAATAAGACCGTCTGCCGGATCTTACAACTGGTGAATGCTAAGAAGAAGAATCTGGTCTGCCATCTTGTCATGCCTTTGCACGAGTTATTGAGCTCTTGATGTTATAGTACATGGATTTATAACATTGTCTTCTTATGGGGTAATGAGCAGGCTGATAGATTGGCTACTGTGGTTCCTCAGGGTGGTAAACTACTTTACGATGAAGCATATGTGGTGAAGACTTGTCTGGTTTCAAGTGAATAGTGCAACAGAACAGAGTATCCATACATTGACAGACTCATTCAGAGGCTGATTAGCGGAGTGTCTGGAAGATATCCAACAATGAGGGGAAAACATGGACCAACCTTTAATCAGGTTGCAATAGGTATACTATTAGCATATTGACTCTTCATTGGCTGCTGAGGAAGGAGATGGAGAATGTGTGGGAATACCCTGAGTGCAGAGATGTCTGTCCTTGCTTCATTCATTGATTTTTGTATGCATGTATTCCAGTATTCGAATGTTTACACCGTGACACGAGAGATCAACAAGCTGAGGGAGGATGCCCACTTGCAGCAGGAATGCCTCAAGTTCGTGGCTAAATCAGGTGATCATTAGTTAAATAACAGTGAAATTTAGCTGAACTTGATATATTGTTATTGCCTTACTGTAGATCTGTTACTGCCTTACTGTAAATCATGTTGTAATCACTGATTCAGTTATGAGGTTGTCATGCACTCGGGAGCTTTTCTGTATCTAAACTGTATCTAAACTGTATCTAAACTTTTTTGGTCTCAATAAATGCTTGTTTTTTTTATTCTTCTCCTTGGATCCCAGGCAACATGTGGTGTGTCAAGAGGTTTTTTAACAAATGTTTTAAATAAAACAAACCATAGTTACATGTGTTCTGTTATTTTACATTTGATCAGAGCATACTAAAAATTTTACATTTGATCAGAGCATACTAAAAATATGGACTCTGCACCACTTTTAAAAAAATGCATTTTTCAAAGGTACATGCTTTCATCATTTCTTGTGTTTATTCTGACCATTTACTTTTGACACCTGTTTGCACTGAAAGAGTTAAATACAGTGTATTGACACTGTTGCTGTCCCCATGTGTTTCCTAATATCACCGCTGAATGTCTTGGTAGTTTCTGCCCATTGTTTAACTCTTTGAGTCCCATGGAACTCATCATACGTTCACATGTGCCTACCTAGAAGCCCAATGAATGCACGATGCGCCGATTTTATGACTCTTTACTACACCCTGGGCCTGTGATGCTAAACCCCCTGAGACTCAGAGTTAATGTTTAAATATCCTCACTGATTGTGCTCAATTATTCTACTTGTTTTATAATGGGGTGATAATTTAGTGAGGAAATGCTAGTTTTGGTAACAAAATGAAGCGTGTGTTTTCAAGTCTCGACTCTAATTGTACGTATAGTGTTATTGACCAACAGGAACTTGTTGGATGGTATTGTCATTATCCCATAATAAGTTATGGGGCCCATTGTGCAGGGAATATAATAACCAATAGTCTGCATACAAATAAGGTAGATCTGTAAAACAGATTTGCACACAAAACAAGGTCTGGAACAAGACCAAATTCCAGAAATGGACAAACAACCAGAACTTTCTGCCAGAGTTTACAGCTGGCAAATGCCAAAAAGAAATCGAAGAAGATATAGTCATTATCATACTGTCCACTTTTACTTCATAAACATTTCAGGACATCTATTTTAGTCCAGGTCTGCCTGGCAGCGCATGGTTTTAAAATTATTCACATGTACCAGTCGACATGCTATGTATGTTTCTTACATGTTATGTTTAGTGAGGGACTCTAGAACTCTTACATGTTATGTTTAGTGAGGGACTCTAGAACTCTTACATGTTATGTTTAGTGAGGGACTCTAGAACTCTTACATGTTATGTTTAGTGAGGGACTCTAGAACTCTTACATGTTATGTTTAGTGAGGGACTCTAGAACTCTTACATGTTATGTTTAGTGAGGGACTCTAGAACTCTCACTACATGTTTCTGTCCTGCAAGGGTTGTACACTTGACCCCTCTGGTTGTAGTATACCCATGAGTTTAGTGTTGCCATTTGTAATTCAGACTTTAGCTAGATAGAATCTTGTGGGACTGAAACAGGTAATGAGAAATAAAACCTGTGACCACTGGACCAGATACTCACTGGACCAGATACTCACTGGACCAGATACTCACTGGACCAGATACTCACTGGACCAGATACTAAATTAACCTGGCTGTCAATTTGAAAAAATCTACAACAGACCTTTTGATGATTTTGTATCCATTTTAGTCTAAAAAGAACTGTTTCACAATATAACAATTCTTCTAGAGCGTAGGCCTTCACACTTTCAATATGTGTTTATGTTGCATTATAGATGTTTTAAACTGGCTCCGGATTTGAATAGAATCTCTAAAATAACCCACAGTTAATAAGTTTGTAACCATTTTAGTATAGAATTAAGACTCACAAAAATTCTTCTAGATTGGAGTCTTCCGGACTGTTAAGATGTTTTAATGTTGTACTGTAAATTGTATAAACACTGCTCTTACATAGGTCTTAGTTTGAATAGCCCAAACATGGCTTCTAATTTATAGAATCTCTAAATTAACCTATATATAATAATTTTATGACAACTTTAGTATAGAATTAACTATTAACAATTGTAAAAAACAATTCTTCTAGTCTTCTTGACTTTCAGGATGTGTTCAAATTGAACTACAAAAAGTCTGAACAATGCCCGCACATGGCTGCTGATTTGATTATAATCCCTGAAATAACCTGCAGATAACTTGGTAACCATTTTAATTTAAGATTGAACTATTCAGCAATTCTTGCAATTCTTCTAGAACGCAGTCTTCCAGACCTGCAAGATGTGCTGATGCTGTATTGTGACTTCACCCCTGGGACCACGGTCAAAGATCTCTGCACCAGACATAACAATCCTCACAGCCTGAAAGTGGACGAAAGGTGGGGTTGTGTTGTGATGGTTATTTTGTCTGTCTGTTCCCCTATGTTAAGGGCTCCCATTTTGGGGTACAAAAATTATAGACCCATTGTCCCCAGAACAAGCATGCTATAAAAAGTGACTAATTAGGGCACGTCGGGTGTCTGGTCGCCCATTTGCTGGCTGGTAGACGACTTTGTCGCTGGTCCGTCAGTATTTGGGTTTGTCTCCTTTGATCGCATCAGCACTGCAGGAGTCCTTTTCAGGGCTCTTGTTGGCGTGCAGTGCTAAACCATTTTATAAGGTGCACAAAGCCTAGTCACAATTATAACCTAAAGCTTCCCCTTTGGGGGTTGCTGGTTGAACGTGACTTTTCCAGCAAGCAGCTACGTACCACTAATTAAGGTTTGCTAAAATCACATATGTTGAGCCAAAAGGCAGATATTTACAGCCTTGCTGTAAACCACGACAATCTTTGCTAGCTACCTTTTTAAGAAGTCTGTTTCAAATGCAGCCTTTTTCGTCCAGTGCATGTCTTATGGCATCACCATGTCCACTGACTTCTATGCCATTTACTGCCAGCTATTTCTGAAACTGATATCCTCCCTTTCTCCTCCTCCTCCACCTCAGCGTTCACAGGCTGTATACTTCAGCAAAGAGTTCTGGGTTGTTTTTTTCTCTCTATTTTTATTTGCAGACAGTTCATTTCTGGCCTCTTGGGCAGATGCACTCTCAACTTAGGAAACACCCCTAATTATTCAATTTTTATAGCATGTTTGTTCTGGGGGGGGGGGGGGGGTGGTTTTTTTTCCCTTCAAAAAAGGGGGGGGGGGTTGAGTCAAGAATTGACATCACAGCACTCGGGGCATTCGCATGCATGCTCCATCCTCATCTTCAGCAGCCAGTGCAGAGCTCCAGTACTGATGGTACTGGTCACACTCTGGTTAAAAGTCTGTCTTGCCTTTCCTCTGAATGTAATGAGCCGGCCAGACCCTCTGGTTACACCCAGGTGCCTCATTCTCTCCAGGCCATAATCTTCTTACTCTGCTGATTCTGTTGCTTGTTCTCAAAGGGCCTTGGAACCCATATGACAGATACTGCATTTCAAAGGGAATCATTGAGCAATCAAACTTACTTTATTGTTCCAAGATTGTTTATTTGGCCTGCATTCCCATCCAGCATTCTGCTTGCTCTTCTAACCACACTGCTTACATAACATTATTCCATTCATATATCTTGTTACAGATAATATTCATCAGAATCTAAATCTTGGTCTAAATTGTGATGTTGGTTAACTCATAATTCTGGGTGAAACAGCTGAGCCGCTTGACTCATACTGTGAAGGACATGGGTTTATTTCTCAGGCTGTGTCATTCAGTTGACGATTGCAGTTTTTGTGGAGTCTTTTTAAATCATTGCTGGAGATTAGGTTTGTACTTTATAATATGCTCTCAAATATCTAGTCCTTCTTTGCCAAGTGAGATGGGAAAGAGAATTCTTAAGAGGAAAATAAATACCATACTGATATACAGAAGGGAATTATGGACAGCTGGACAACTAGTAAACAATTATTTGGAAAAGACGGAGATGTGGTTTTACAGATGAATTATGAGAACACACTGGACAGAAAAAAAAATAGTGATGTCTTAAAAATAAACTTTGTACACTATAAGGTGCTCTCAGATATTATTTGCAGTCTTTTTTTTTGTCAATTGAGACGAGAAAGAGAATTCTTAAAAGCTATATAAATCCTATATCGAAATATGGAAGTAAATTATGGACAGTTGGTAGATTATTGAAAAATTATTTGGAAGCTGCGTAGATGTAGTTTTATAGACGGATGTTGAGAATGCCCTGGACAGATAAAAAAAAGAGAAATGTCTTGAAAGAAACTGACTCACGAAAGGAACTGATTGCCCACATCAGAAAGAGGCTATCTACGTTCTTGGGTCATGTGATAAGGAGAAAACCGGGGTACATCGTGACAGTAGGAAAGTTGGAGGGTAGGAGAGGCAGAGAGAGACCAAGAGAAAATGTTCTGGATAGTTCGACATCATAGCATGGAGGATCGATCATCTGTGTCAGAGTTGATTTAAGTACACGAAACAGAAGGTTGTGGATAGGCACGACTACCAATGCCACACGACATGGACTTTAAGAAGTCTTGAAAGAAACTGTCTCATGAATAGAACTGATTGCCCACATCAGAAAGAGACATTCTTCATTTTTTGATCATGTCGTAAGGAGACAACTGTAGTGTATCATGACCATGGGAAAGTTGGAGAGGAAAGAGGGCAGAGGGAGACTAAGAGATGCTGGACAGTTTGACCTCATGACATGGAGAATCATTTATTTCAGCATTGATTGAAAGTACACGAAGCAGAAGGTTATGGATAGACATGATTACCAGTGCCATATGGCAAGAACAATGAGAAGTAGATACTTTCAGCAGGCCATTCTGCAGAGAGGCCAAGCCATGTGGAATCAAACCTGCATATATTTGTCAACTGCAGCTGCCCTAACTTCTGCAGTTTTTAATTTGTTCTGCTTCTTTGTCTGTACAGGAAACTAGCCCAGTTTGGCGTCATGAAGGGTCTTCTGAGACGCATACATCAGTACCCGGTGGCATTACCGGGTGAGCCCATCTCTTCCCGCATCCAGCCGTTTGTTCGTTTGTTGGATGGCAAGCATAATTTCGACCAGATTTGTTGTGAAACAGGTGGGTACATCATATTACACCATATTGCATGTTATGAATAAATTACTTTATCAGAGTTGAGTTGAATTGAGTCAGAAATTTACATTACAGCACTCCATGCATTCCTATTGTGCTCTGTCCCTATCTTCAGCAGCCAGTGCAAAGTACCAATACCAATGGTACCGGTCGTAGTCTGGTTATTTGTCCATCTTGCCTTTCGTCTGAGTGTAGTGTGCCGGTCACACCCAGGTGCATCATTCTCTCCAGGCCATAGTTTCTCTTCTGACTTTGTTACTTGTACCTAAAGGGCCCTGACCACAAATTCTTTGTCATGTATCAGTTCACCACCCAGTGGTGCAGATCCAGCCAATCTGTCTGCCTATTCATTTCCCACCACCCTGGCATAGCCTGGAGAAATGATCAAAAGTATGCTCACTACCTGTGACCTTCCAAGTAAAGCTTGCCACTCTGCTCGAAACATCGTCTTCACTTTTTTTTTCAGCATACTCTGAGTCTGTTACAATTATGACATGTGTATGCACCTTGTTCTCTAGGCATCAGAAAGCTGCAGTGACCACCTTTACCTTAAGAATTCACATCACTGTGCTAGGCCTTATCAGTCAGTGGTTTTTGGTTACCTTTTTGCAGTCGGAGTCTGTTACTTATTCATTGTGAAGCCACTTTTTAATCCCAAGGTGCCAGATTCGATCCCAGCTGCAGGCAGCAGACCTTGTGTTGGTTTCGACATTTACTATCGAGAGCTGACTATTCATGAGGCAGTGGCAAACTAGGTTAGTTGTGTATCCTTTACAGGATGTTGCAGAACCAACCCCAGCAGCCCCTGGCTGTTGTGTGGTTTCTCTAGGCAAATTTACGTCCAGTAGTTTGCTATTGCTTCTGGATGGTGGGCTCCCAGATACCAGTCAAAACCAACCCGAGGCAGTGGCAAACTACAGAATGTAAATTGCTTAGTAAAATCAATCAAAATATTCGCGGGTTGGTTTTGCAACATTATGTAAAGGAGATGCAATTAGCTTTTTTGATAAAACTATCTTTTACTCTCCATTTTAAGTGCTATCTTGAATCTATAACATTTGTTTAAATAAAATTAAACATTTTACAAATCATTTTGAGCCTATTTTAATGACTAGGTTTACCCCAGAGCTATACTGGTTTGAAAAGAATGCTGCCACAGAATTGAATCTGGACCACTGCCTCAGCAGGCAAACACACTAATCATGTTTTTTATTCAACGGATCATCATGGCACACAGATGTAACTTATAAGTGCTTCTTTCTTCTAACTCAAGCCTGAGTTTGAAGAATCTCAGCGCAGTGCACGAACTCTGTTGCACCAGCAATGATCTTGAAATACTTTGGGTAGATTTTTAAACTAATTTTTTTCTGGGCAGCGCCGTTAGGCTACTCTTTTTGATTTCCAACTGCCAATGAATTTTTTTACTTGTGCAACAATACACACGGGTGTCCGGTTTTACTACCCAGAGACCAGGAGGAAATTACTAGAAGTCGACGTGAACAAATCCAAGCCTTCACCGGGGCCTGAACCCAGGACCTCCAACACTAGAGGCATACATCTTGCCTTGAGACCACACAGCCCCCCCCCCCACCCCCCCCCCCCCCCCTGCCTTCCCAGGGTACAAGTATCTCAGCTATTATCACTATTGAATACAATTTGACCATTTAGTGGTGTGACTGATTTTATTTGACAAAAGTGCCATCTTTGAAGCAAAGCATATCATTCAAACAGGAACCTTTTTTATCTATGATTTGGCCAGATTGCAACACCATCTGGTCATCAGACAAATAACCTATAATTTTGTTTAGCTAGTGAGAGTTGTCATATTACATATACAGCAAATAGTAGACATTAAATTATGTTTTAAAACCTGGTGGAAAGTGTTGTTGAGACAGATGAAATGACACAGGTTTTTGGGGATCAGTGCTTGTCTGATGTTCTGTTGTTCAAGCAGTATGCTTGAGTCTGTTGAAGATGATTAATATTTGACCATTGTTCTTAGTTCTTCATTGATGATTCTGTGTCTTCTTGTTTTCCTCGCCACATTTTTATTCATCTCATCACACGAGTTGTGACTGATGATAGGCTTGAATTCAAGCTGTCTGTTATTTAGTGTATCACATGACATCTACCTTGCCCCCGTGTGGGTTCCGGGGCCCCATTGTGGGGAAAACAAGAATAGACCCACTGCCTCCCCAAAAGCGTGTCGTAAGAGTCGACTAATTGGGGAGCTTCCTTTGAAGTCGGAGTGCATCTGCCAGAGAGGCAAGGAACCAACAGTCTGTATTCAAGAGAATGAGATCTGTAAAACTGCTGTATTCAAGAGAATGAGATCTGTAAAACTCACGCAACACCCAGGTTCTGGAGCAGGACTGCAGTTCAGTAGTGGACGAGCAACCAGAACTTTTCACCAGAGTGTACAGCTGGTGAACACGAAGAAGAAGAAGAAGAAGACATCTACCTTGTTCTTTTCTTGCCCTTCCTTGTGTTCTCCAGCTCCAAGTTAAATGCTATTTTTGTATTGCAGGAGGTGTTTTCTGTTTGTTAATTCCTCAGTTGCCTGTTTACTTTCAGGGATGAGCCATCGTGAGCTTGAAGACAAAATAGACAATGATGAAAGCACCGTTGTATGTTGGAAATAATGTTATTGTATTTAGATACATGAATATGAGTGTCCAGACAAAGGATTTTGTATGTTGGTTTTTAATAGTCATGTAAGAATGTGAGTAAATGTCTGGATCTTTTATTAAATTGAAGAAAGTCAAAGTGTAAGAGTATTGAGTTTCCAGATAAAGGAAGATATTAGTTTTGTAATGGATGGATGGATTTATTGGTAAAAATTTTAGGAACATAGGGAGGGCATTAACTTCTCATTAGTTGCCATGTTTTATCAAGTTTGTTTTTTTAAAGTAATTTTTACCGTTCAAGTTATACATTTGTTTTGGTCTTCTCCCCTAAAAAGATGCATGACAGTACTATTTTATTTGAGTTGTTTGCTATTTGCAGTTTTAAAAACTGGCACAAGCAGAACCTGGTTTACCTCCTATAAAAGCAGCAGCACATGAGCTCGCACCAAGCAGTCCTACATTTTGCCATTTCCTGCAGCTTTCTCCATGTCCTCTATACATTTTTCACCATGGCCTCATTTTTCATCTTTTCGGTGTTTTAGGTCTGGCTGTATCTCTTTTGTCCTGTTATTTCCAATTTCCAGTTCACAGACATTCTCTCTAGCTAGAGGTTTTCTCAGATTGTATCCTATACGACCCCATCGTCTTTTCTTCACTCTTTGTTTGCTGGAATTTTAGTTGTCTTTGTAAGCTGTTAAAAGTGGGGGAATTTGCTAAATAGTAGTGTTCTGTCTATCACTTCATTATTGATTCCTCATCCATATCTAAGTAAGCTGGAGAAGGCAGATTAAAAGAGTAAGATAACAATTCGAATATAAATTAAAAATTTTTTTTAAAAGAGACTGGAAAGAGTACTAGATTGTACAACATGATGAGAGATAAATACTGGAGATCTTGTTGCTATCATCCAATAATGTCTGAGGCAACCGATGTGATCTGAAGCTCAGAAAGTATACTGTGGTTTCTGAAGCAACTGGAGGAGGCAATAAGCAACACATGGGCTTCATGTCCAACCAAAAGTCATTATTCTCAGACTTTAAACATTTAAATTCTTCTTCAGTGCATTTACATCTCACTTTATCTCATGCTGCCTTTTCTCTTTGCCATTTTATGCAGTATGAATCCAGAAGTCTTACTTTATCCTGTGTGTGTTTTAACAGCTTATTTTATTGTTTGTTTATTTTTCTGAAAACTACAGTTTACTGATTTACAGCTTCAGGCTTGTGGGATAATGTATTTATGATGATTATTTTAGCCATAAATAAAATTTTATTAAACAAATGCTTGTCACTGATATGTATAAAAATAAAATAAAAAAACTTCTTGTCATTAGGAGTTGCTGTGTAGCCTAGTAATTTCCTCACTTGTCTACCAATGTAGTAGTCTGGGTTTGATCTTCAGTTGGGGTAGAATTTACTGACCAGTACGGCTCTGAAGTTGATCCAGCCTCAAGCAAAGAAATTTACAAGGAAAGGTAGCTAGCTAGTCATCCCACCTCATCCTGTGACACAGAATAAAAAAAGTCAAACATTTCCCACCTTCCACAGCAGTTTTTCTACCCGTTTTGTTTTTCTCTTTACCTTGCATTGTTATTGTAGATGTATATGGCATTTGACAAGAGGCAGTAGTATTGATCTGGGTAGATGTTGTCTGCACACAATTAAATGTAAGTTCTTCTCTAGTCCTTTTCTGCCTTTGAGCATTAGGTTTTAAAGAGGCATGTGGTGAGTCTTGACATTTGCTATGTAGATGCTGGTATTCACGGCATATGTTTCTTCTATCCGTTGCGTGCGTGTTTGACCTTTGCTTCTGTTGTTTCTCAGTAACAGGGCTGAGGATGATGCACTATCTTGTGGTAGCCTTGATCCATGTCTGAACCATTTGTCTTTTGGTGTACTTTAGTGCTGATTCAATCCTGGCTTCTTTCCTACTATGTCTGATCCTGTCTATTTTTGTTACGTTTAGTTTATGTAACACTGGTAATAAATCTTTTTTCTTTGTTTACCCTTGTCATGTGACAGTTTGCAGAAATCTGCAGTTGTACATCTTTTGTCTTTCTGGTGCAGATTCAGCACCCCAGGTTCTGAGACTGGATTTGCCTCCATTCTATGATCATATTGTCTTGTCCAGAATTGATGATGTTCGTTTTCTTGTGTTGCAGCTTCTTTTCAGGACTGCCACTTGGAGGTTAAGTAAGATCTTGGTCAACTCTTTTTCAGAAATAGTCTGCCTCTCATTCTTTGATGCCTCTGTTGCTAGAATATATTTACCCAGCTTGTTCTCAGGACTGTTAGTTGGGAAGAAAGTCTTGCTCTGCTCTCATTGGAAGTTGTTCTGCCTTCATTCTTTGACCACCTTCTATCTTCACAAGAATGTGATACACAGAAATATCCATTATTGTGCAACTGGTCTTCAATAGAGTGTAGCTATTCAGCTTGTTTCTAAGACTGCCATTTGTTGATAAATTCGGGTCTTGGTCAGCTCTGCTTCTTTGACCCTGGTACATGATATCAGGATTTGAATTACAGGCTGCTTTCATCTCTCTCATTGCATCATCATTGGTTCCACAAGTTAAGTGAAACTAACAAAAATATACTGACTTGTTACATGAATTTTGTACATTTTCCATCCTTACATTTTGCTTTGATAAATCTTTCAAGATTTTTATGGATTCTAAACACAAAGTTAAACTGAATTTCTTTATAGGAATGTGTCATTTTATCCTTATTTTTGTTGGGATTACAACTGGTGAATTGTCATACTAGTATCTTGTATTAGTTTTTAAAAGCAACAATTTTCAGTCCTTTAACTCATTGACTACCTCAATCCATTGTCAAAGTTCATGACGATGGACAAATTTAGAATAGGTCATAACTGGTCAGATGTTTTTAAATGTAACAAAAAAGTGTTTTATATTCATTAAACTGCAGCTGAAATTGAAGGTGCCCCACTTGTTAAAACAGTTAATTAAATCTGCAGCCGAAATCAAAGGTGCCCCTCTTGTTTAAACATTTAAATAATTAAGTCTACAGCCGAAATTTAAGGTGAACCTGTTGTCAAAACATTCAAACAATTAAATCTGCAGCTGAAATAGAAAGTACACCTCTTGTTAAAAACATTTAAATAATTAAATCTACTGCCGAAATTGAAGGTGAACCTCTTGTTAAAACATTCAAATAATTAAACCTGCAGCCAAAATCAAAGATGCACCTCTTGTTAAAACATTTAATTGAATCTGCTGCAATAGTTAGCCTGGTAGCTTGAGCTGAATTTCATAAAATTTCTCAGATTTATTATTGAAGCAACATGTTCACATATTTCTCCTTTAACAGAAATTAAATTAAAATTAAGCAAAGTCCTATTAATTCTCTATTTGGTAATAATTTCATAAGTGTTGGCCTGATACTATCATCTATAGAAATATTTCTTGTCAACTTTTTTGTTTGCAGCAGACTTTGTGTGAGATATTAAAACCGCAGCGGGGTTGCCCATGCATGTTTAACCTTTCAGTGTTTGTTGAAAACAAAAACATAATTCCTTTAATTAACTTAATTTTGTAACTGTCAAACTGTCTTCCTTATTGCTGTCTGCGACATGAACTCTGCAGCAGCAGGATTAATTAAAAAGTAAATAGTGAGTAGGGTGTGTGTGTTGGTAGATTGTTTGATTGTGTAAGAAAAAAAATAATTTGTTGAATGAATGAGATGTGTTCTGTTTTAGTATTTACTGCACATGTTCATAATTTAATAAACTGCAGTTTTTTTTTAAATATTTGCTTGTTCCATGCTCTTTAACTCATTACTGTTTAGTTATTTGCTTTGATGTGTTGCGTGTTTGCATATATTTTGTGTTATGAAAATAATTTGGCATCTTTATAAAACCTTAGCAACTGGTGTTGGAAACCATTTAAGATAATGGACCAAAACAAATGCAAAAGGAGTATTCTTTTCTTTTTTTTCCTCATCATAGAGGCAAACTCTTACTAGAATGCGGTTGATCCATGCTCTTTAACTCATTACTGTTTAGGCTTTGATGTATTGCATGTTTGCTATAGTTTATGAAAATAATCTGGCAGCTTTATAAAACCTTAGCAACTGGTGTTGGTATCCATTTAAGATGATAATGGACCAAAACAAATGCAAAATGAGTACTTTTCTTTTTTTCTTAGCATTAACCAGCTGTGAACTCCAAAATCCTGGTTGTTTAACCACTTAAAGACTTTGGTCTTGTTCCCAAACTTTTAGCATGAGGATGAAGATAACAGCTATCACAGTATGCTTGGGAAGATCAAAACTGGCAAACTCTTATAAGAATGCGGTTGACAGTATCCACAAGTTCCGCCCTAAGAAACTATACACTTGGCCAGGACACGCAGGGGTGAAAGGAAATTAAAGAGCTGACACTGGCAGTGGTTGGTGAAGGAAGAAGACAGGGGCACACATACCGAATGTGCTGCCTTCTAGAAACTCTGCGATGGAGTCTGAGACTGAACCACCTACTAGAAATGTGTATTAAACGAGGACAAGAATGCAGAAACTGGTTGCGGGGCCAAAGAAAGAAAGAAGTCAGTAAACTGCTAATGGGTATTGGAGGATGGAGTACAAATTGGTTGTACCGATGTGCTATGATGTCGATATGAACAAGTAACAAGCGGTTTGTTCCAGACCTTGAGTTTTGTGTGCACATCTGTTGTGTTACAGATCTGGCTTGTTTGCCGACTGGGTAAGGAGAATATCAGGCAAACTTCAAAGGGAACACCTTTAATTCTTTTTTTTTTTTTCTGTCTGTCTGTCTCTTTCTGTGTTCAAAAGTCAAAACATCGCTGATGGTCCTTAGTAATCTAAACGAGTGTATGAGTTTGAAAGACAATGCGGAAACAACCTCATCTTCCAAATTGTAAGCAACAGAGTGGTACCAAACATTTTTAAAGGGGAGGGTGGGTAACACACATTGTATCTATAATTGGATATAAGCGGAATTAAAAAGAATGACAATTGAGCAAGATATTTGTTCCA